GAGAGAGAGAGAGAGAGACGGAGGCGGAGGCGGAGAGAGATAGAGATAGATAGATAGAGAGAGAAAGAGATGGAGGCGGAGATAGATAGATAGATAGATAGATAGATAGATAGATAGATAGATAGATAGATAGATAGAGAGAGAGAGAGAGAGAGAGAGAGAGAGAGAGAGAGAGAGAGAGAGAGAGAGAGAGAAACACTGCCATCATCAGACACTCGAAGAAACAACGTTTTCAAGATGTTTTTCGGCCTGGGACATCATCCCATCTGAAAGTTGCTTGAAAAGCCTTGAAATAGTTTTCTACACCGTTCTTCAGAACTTTTCAAAAATGTCTTTCCATAATTTTCTTAAATTTCTTTTGATTTTTTTCCTGGTCTGCGCAGACCATGCAGGGCACACCGTTGCAATGGGGGCTGTGCACCACACGTGTGCGTTGCTCAGAAGCCATGCAACACAAGTATGGCATGCCGTTGTTTACTGCCTGTGTAGTAAACATTCGGTTCTGGATTCGTACACATCTGTTGTCTCTGTTGCTTTCCATGCGCTTTTCAGTTGACGTCATCTCATCACAATCAAGTGCTTAGCCAGTAAGTTCACAGAAACTCCGGCCGTGCTACACATTCCTTGAACTTTTTAGCATTTTTTTTCACAGTTGGTCTAAACCCTCTCTCAGAGAATACTCGCAGTGGGGCTCTACTGGATGCGTCTGACCTTATCTGAACTTTGAAACAGCTGGCACTGGATATATTTGAATGCGGGGTGACGTCCAGAAAACCGTGCAGAAGGTCCTAGTGTGAGTTGGCCCTCACTCATCGCACTTAAGCCACCGCTGCCACTGTGCCAGTACGCAGAGGGCACGGGTGAGACTGCTGGCAGCTCAGCAGCAGCCTGTCACGACCTCTACCAACCGCCATCAGATTGCATTCTCTGTGGCCCAACGATGCTGGGTGGCCTCTGCAATGACCAAGTGCCCCAACCGCACAGATTCAGAAACACGATGGTCAGCCACAGGAACGACAAAACAGAGTTTGGGACAGTTATGGTTTAAGATGTTGCTAAACTCTGCTTTGACTGTTTGCGGTGGTTTGATTTCTGTCTTCTCTCCGACTGTGCGTGAAGAGAACAGTCTGGAAAAGCCGGTCTACTCGACATTCTTCTTGTTCTTCGGAACAATGCTGTGACTGTTCTATGTGAATGCGTACAAAAGAATCAATTCGGATTGTCCACTGTGTCATCTGCGATGAAACATTTCCGAAACAGGTCTCACGAGTTTACAATTTAGAAAGAAAAACAAAAACATTAATCAAATAATAAAATGATGATCGAACGAGGGGATAAAATAAAATAATGGAGAGTCAGAGGAGAGACAGAAGAGTTCTGCAAGGCTGCACCGAAGAGGTGTGAAAGACCACGCCATTCTACTCAATCACTGGGTCGTTACAAATGAAGAAATTTGTAGGGCTTGTGCTTGCTACCATCATATCATGACGTACTATGAGGTCGAGGCTCAGGAGGAGGTCAGACTGCTGAGTCAGCCAGGCGGATTGACGCTTGCAGCAGCAGAAAGTCACTGATCGACTGGCCAACTGAGATCCGGTGTCTGACGCAAACAGATGCACAATCATGGCAGCGGCTGGTGGGTAAACAAACTAGCAAGCAAGAATGCAGGCAGGCATTCAGCCAAACAACATCAAGCATGCTCTTCACTGACTGACAGCAGAAATCCACTGATGGACTGGCGTCAGTCAGTCAGTCAGTCAGTCAGCCTCTGACAGACTGACTGACTGACATGGAAAACTGCCCACAATCATCACAGTAGCTGGAGGTTAACAGCTCAAATCCACTGACGGACTGCCATCAGTCAGTCAATAAGCCACTGACTGACTGGCTGGCTGCCCTCATGCATCCAAGAGAAACAAATGCAGAAGAAAAAAAAGAAAGAAAAACTTCCCACAATCATGGCAGCTGCTGCAGGTAAACAGACAAACAGCTCAATCAAAGACACCACTGAGGTTGGGCTGTGCATATACAGTACCATAGGCAGCATCAGCAGCGATCCACACATAGTCTTTGGCAAGCCATGAGAGCTCGCTGAAGACTTTCAGGAGGGCCAGACCCACTCCTAAGCCCAGTGCGTCTGCTTCATTCAGCCCTTCTTCACTGACATTAAATGGTGTCACAAGAACCATTGCCTCGTTCCCCTCTCCCTGAGGAGCCCTCACGATCCCAACAACATTCACTCCACCAGGCCTTTTTTTCATTGGGATACCGGCTGCCATGCCAGGCGTGTTTCCGTCAAGCCCAGCAGCAGAACACGATTCCAACGATGCGACCCCACGGACTTCGCATGACGACGCACCCAAACCGGGATCCCAACCGCCAGTCTTGTTGTCAGCACTGCCTGCTGCACTTTCAGACTGCCTGCCTTGCCGATGAGAAGCCCACCCAAACCGGGATCCCAACTGCATTTCCGGTGGTGGAAAAGGGTGGACGTATGTGTCCACCCCAAGGTGTGACAAGCGACCGAGCAGCCAGTCCTCCAGCGTCCTGTCCTACCAACAAAATTCACAGCCACCACGAAACCAGATCATTACAAAACGAACTACTAGCCGGCATAACAATATCAACAACGACAACAACAACAACAACAAAGAATAGAAACCCACATGCCAGACATATCACAAGATCAGGCAAGCCTACAACGTTACGAACAGAGACTCCCTGTCCTTGACGACTTCCGTTCAAATTGGAACGATACAGAGACGATAAGCATGGCCCCTGCGCATTCAAGGATGACACAAATAAATCGAGATGTGGTCCAAATAAAATTAAAAAATATATAAATAAAAAAAGCAGACACTCCTTTGAGGACGGAAATCCACTGAAGGGCAGTGGAGAGGGCAGACGCAAGAGAAGGAAAGCATCCAGAGAAGTCCTAAACGATGTCTTCACCACACATATGCCATCCGATCAGAATATTCTGCATTACCATACACGATTACGGCTGTCATCTTATCCTTATCCCCCCATAGGTGCATGTCGATTGCATGGTGAGAGTTGTGGATGATAAATCGCGATGAGGACAGTTCTCATGTATCACATGCAGGAAAGCAAAAGACTGTGGTTCACAAGAGACTCGTCCCCATCGCAATCTGAAAGCAAGGAGCCAATCATTATGCTTAGCCGCAACACACAGAGAGGGAGAGAGAGAGAAGAGTCGATCAAAACGCGAGCGAGACGACCATGAGATGGTCATGCCACAACAGGAACATCTTGTAAATCAGGGAGAGATGGAATGCACCCCGGACTCAGCCACCACAGCTGCTCTCACAACACTCTACACCACACACTTGGTATGGAGGAAGGAACAGGACAACAGCACACAACAATAGAAGAGAGGAGGGGGGGAGAGAGTGAGAGAGAGAGAGAGAGATGGGGAGAAACATGAGGGATGTGAGTACTTGTGCTTGTTACTGGAGGAGTCGACCAACTGTTGAAGCCTATCTGCCACCTTGAGAGCATAACTGGCATCCACTTCACTGAACCGAGGATCCGCCGTTGCTGCATATAATAAAGTGACAAGTGAGAAACAACCAAAAAACAGCCTGGCCCATCAGCTCTTAAATCAGATTGCATGACGAAAAGGGGTAAACAAGAACAACCCAAAACCAGGCTGGTCATACTGGAAGGACCAGAAGTATCGCCTCCTTTTCCGGGAGAACGTGATGCAAAGGGCCTCTTTGTCGGCATCTGCACTGGTCCGCACCTGGTCCAAAGCACTCTGGTGACTCGAATCCCAGCCCAAATTGGTTGAAAAAAAGAACCAAAAAAAAAGACTTACCCAAGCCCCAAAATTTCAAACCCGTCCTGTGGGACATCCGTTAAAATTGGAACGATACAGAGAAGTGTAGATTAGCATGCCTCCTGCAAAAAATTTAAGGATGACACACACTTAATCGACAAATGTCCCAAATTACTAGGGTGTTTGTCCGGGCGCCCGGGCACCCAACTTGTGCCCGGATACAGGTCCGGGCGCCCGGCCGGGCACAAGCCCCGGGCAGGATACACACCCGGATTCGTGGCCAGGCATGAACCCCGGGCAGGGTTCCGGGAAGCCCCAGCGCCAAAAAAAAAATTAAAAAAAAAACAAAAAAAATCCAGGGAAAAAAAAAATGTCGTGTAGCGGCGGGGTGTGGACAGGTGGAGACCATACCCCACCTGTTTGTGCGATGCCCTGTGGTTCGAACTTTCTGGAACTGGTGGGTGCAGGAGATGGTGGAGCACTCACCGCTGGGCGTGACAGAAATGGATGATGCGGCTATTCTTATGGGAGCATTGATGATGAGGGGCAACAGATGAAAATCTGAGGACTTTATGGGGATGAAGATCATGAGAGCAGCAATACCATGGGCAATCTGGACCTTGAGGAACGAACGCGGCCCCCCCTCTGCAGGCGTATCAGGAACGGCCACTGGAAAATATTATAGTGGCCCTCCAGGCGGACTTCCGCCGCTGTGAACGAACCGGGGGGGGGGAGGGAGGAGAACAGATTCTGGAAGAGATGGTGCCCATACCCGCAGCCGCTGACTCCCCAAAGACCTGCCGTATTTTGTTTGGGCCCCTGCTACTACGACAGACATGCCAAGCGGAAACCGATATACTATAGATAGAATTAGAAATACGACAAGATAAGGTAGAAGGAATTAAATAAGAAGGGGAGGGGGTGAGGGCGGGAAGGGAGTAAAATAAAAAAAAATGGAAAACGATGGTCCAAAAGCACATAGATAGAAGGTGACAACGAGTAGTAAGGGTACAATACAATGAAACTGAGGGCATAAGGGTAATGGTATATATTGTCACACTGGAAATCGGAGTGCAAAGGCGGAAAAAGACAGAACAAGAAAAAGAAAAAGAAGGAAGGAAAGCCGCACCTGTTTGTCACCTCTTACGTACAAGGCCAGCCACGTGGATGACAGGTTGAGCGCTGGCTGCCCCCATCCCCGTGTGTCACAAAGACCCACTTGCACGCAGCCAAAAGGCAAAGAGGTAAAGAAAAGGCGGAGGAAACCAAACCTCACAGAAGAAGAAAGCCTTTTAAACAGACGAAGCAAGTGACACATCCCACAGATAATCCAATTACCATCCCACAGAACCTATTTTTCTTTTTTCGTTTTTCTTTTTTCTTTTTTCTCAGGTTTCTTTTTTTGTGTTTTTCCTTCCTTGGTTTCTTTTTCTATTTATTTATTTTTTTTCTTTTTACTCGGTTTCTTGTTTTATCTGTTTCTTCTTCACTTCATCTGTCACCCCCTCGGCAGATAGGACAACTACGGTGAGGATGACGGGGATGTTCACAGGGATACCCAAGGAGAGTTGCGCTAGTACAGCATTCAGCCGGACGGCTAGCACGAACCATCCCATCGAAACAATCCCGACATAGGACATGTTGCCCACATGTCAAGAAAACAGCAGGACGTTCGTCACAGTGCGGCATCATGCAGTTCTGATAGCGTCCTTGGTATACTAACAAAATGGGAAAGATGCACATTGTGATGGGAGAGCAGTATAGATAACAAAGGTGTAAGGGGAGCAGTAAGTTAGAGATTGCCTAAGGCTGTGCAGAAGGCAAGAAAGAAGGGATTTGCGGCAACAAACAGAAGGTAGGGAATCTATTGTAGGGAGGATACATGTAAGCTGAAACTGGTGCCAATCCGCCTGATGGGCTGCCAGGCATACCTCCCCGGCGCCTTGCCATCTACAGGATTCACCTGCTGCATGTCTGGGTGCACCAGTAAGCATCCCGGCCGGCATGTGAATTCCTGCAAATGAGCTATGGTTCGGGGGCAGAAAGGCCTTGGACCAGCCCACCCTTGTGTAAGCAGCTAGAACTACAAGGGTGGCTGAACTTTTTCTTTCCTGCGTATCTCTCTTTCTTTCCCCTCTTGTTGCCGTCCGTGTATAAACACGCTTGCCGGTGATGAGCAACGGGACTGACGCCCCCCAGAATAGACGGGGGTATGAGTTCTGCTTAAAAATAAAAAATAGAAATAAAAAAAGAATTGCAATATAAAGTTATAAACGACTTTGGCTGAGGCTCACATCAGAATTCATCAAGGAATTGAAGAAAAGAAAAGAAAACAACAGAATCAGACTAAGGCACCCCCTTTTATAAGGTTTAAACCCCTTTAGCTTTTTGAAAAC